GAGAGCGAGGGTTTCTGCTGTCCGGTGAGGAAAATAAATTACCCCCAGCAGCTGCTAGTGCTGATCGTCGGAAACGGTGGAACCCACTTAAATGAATAATAATTAAAGAAATAAATTTCCCCGAGTGCCAGCCTCAAAACTTTTTGTTCAGCAAGAAAGGGAAGGAGAAGCCACGCAAAATGAATGGCTCGGCTGTTTCCAAAGTAGGCTGCCTGCGCCGCGGCGGGCGAAGTGGAGTGATAATGGGACTCATTAAAGGAGCTGGTGTGGTTCAAGGAAGCCTTTTCCCAGGTCTCAAAGTTGTGTGGAAACTGGCAGAGTAGAAACGAGGGTGGATCATGGCAAACCCCATCCCCTTGAGGAGCAAAAAAATAAGGGGAAGCCGGGATCACCCCGTTAGAGTTATCTCCGGGTTGGAGCATCGGGTGGTGGAGCCAATGGTCTGCCAGGTCCAGTCATAGAATCATAGAATGGTTTGGGTTGGAAAGGACCTTAAAGATCATCAAGTTCCAACCCCCCTGCCCTGGGCAGGGACACCTCCCACCAGACCAGGTTGCTCCAAGCCCCATCCAGCCTGGCCTTGAACCCCTGTGTTTTAGGGTTATGGGGAAAAAAAAAGGTCCTGATTGGGTGCACCTTAATGGATGCAGCATCCAACCTGCTTGTTTTAAATATATTTTGTGATCATTGAACCTTCGACGGGGATAAATTATGCCCTTTTCCCCTTTTTTCCATCAAAAGATGGAATTTTGAGCGGGGGCCGAACATTGCGATGAACACCCCGGGACCCGCTCGTCTGCGATTCCTTCCGAGGAGCAGGGGAATAAAAAAAAACCCAACAAACCAGGAGTTTAGGCTGTAGCCCCCCTGCTATTAATCATAGCTGTAATCATGCATTTAATGAACATGACAGCTCCCTCTCCCTCCGGAGAGACGCGCCGAAGCTCACGGCTGGTTTGAGGTACAACAATCACTTCTCGCCGCTCGCGCTTGAGGACACCCGGAGCCGCCGGTGTCAGGTTGGGGATGATGCATTAAAGAGAAACAAACCCCCCTTTTTGCACGGGCTGCCTATTTCCTTACAGATGATGCGCTTCAACCCCACTGAATCATTAAGAAAGAAAAGGAGAAAAAGCAAAAAGCCGAGAGAGGGAAAAACACCTGTCCCTTACGCGGGGTATAAAATATCAAGCCTGACGCCGCCGTGCTGTGTGTAATCAGTTAAAAAGCCCTTAATGTGCAGTTCTTGATGCTCTCCCCGGCAGCTTGTATTTTTTTTCTATTTTTTTTTTTTTTTACCTTCTCCCCATCTTTTTCCTGCTGCCTTTGAGCCTGCACGGGGGGGG